CAGAGAAGCAGCTCAGAGGCTGGGAAGGCAGGCGGTGACAACAGGGGGGGAGTCACAGGGGTGTCTGCTCTGCAGCCCGGATTCAGAGTAGAACAAAGTTGTTGTACTTTGGATACTTACAGACTGTGGAATTAATTTTAGGACTGAGTGATTTTGGACTGGGCTGGGGTTGCAGGCATGTGCTCTGGAGGCTCAGGAGTGTGGGAGAGTGATGTGGCAGAGGGGTTGGTGATCGTTGTCCTGGACGTGGAGCCAGGTGAGGTCACAGCCTCGGTGCGGGCACACGAAGCAACCCACTGGGGAGTTCGAGGAGGACTTCTTCACGGTGCGAGTCCCGGTACTCCTTCGACTCCTCTTGAGAGGGCTGATTTACAGCCCCTGCTTGTCCCTGGCGTGTCTTCAAGGAGTCGGATTCCTCTTGGGAAGGTAGTTTTTCCAAAACATGCAAGCACTTAGCAGCCATCTGGGATATAAATTAAGCCAGTTTTTTAGTGTTGTCCACCAAGGCCTCGACTGTGAGTACATCCTAGCAGAACGGCTTTCCCAGTTAACTGAGGATGATTTCTCCCTTTTGATTCTTTAATGTGTAGGGTATGGCCGTGAGATCTAAAATGATTGAAACTGGCAAACCTATTTTACTCTGCAGCTGAGGCTGCCTTGCCTTGCCAGCCACACCTCGCACTGGTTTCTGCCCTCTGCCTTCAGAAACATCGGTGGCTGGGTGGTTAGGAGAGTTGAATAAGGTTCATGTAACAACTGGTTCATTTAACAAATCCTTTCTTCTACAAATATGGGACTTTGTTATCTAAGGCATTTATAGGAGAGGGGCTGTGCTATGAAGGTGGATATCTCGGTGTGTGAAGGGGAGGAGCGGGGCCAGCAGTGTGCCATGGGACGTGTGGATGGGTGGATCGTGGGCGCTTGCTTTTTAACCTCCTGTCCCTTCGGTTTCCAGATGCCATCAGCGCCACGAATCCCCGGGTCATTGACGATTCTCGGGCGCGGAAGCTTTCCAATGATTTGAAACGCTGCACGTACTACGAGACCTGTGCCACCTACGGACTGAACGTGGAGAGAGTCTTCCAGGACGGTAACTGCAGCTGGTGGAGGGTGTCTGCGCGAGGCAGGGCAGCAGTGCTGTGCTGGAGAGAGCGCCTATGCTACCTAGACTGCCGGCTCTTGTTTGGAACAGCGTGCTGCTGAGAGGCCAAGGGCCTTAGGCACCTGTTCGTGTGCAGTGCTGCTGCTTTACACCCGCAGACGGGGTCTGAGGAGTGGGACATGCTGTGTGTGGAGGGATTCCTGTGTGTGGCACGTAGGTGGACTGCACGTGGATGTGCACAAGGGACTGCAGAGCAGGGCCGGGCGACATCCTTCTCCTGCCTTTCTTGCAGGGGCTGTCCTCTGGATTCCACGAGTTCCAGAGAGCAGAGAGGCTGCAGGGGGTGGCTGCGTGCCCGTGGTGGGCCCGGGCAGCACGGCAGTCTGTGTGAGCCTGCAGAGGACGGGTGAGGCTGCAGAGAGGGTTTAGATTGCCTTTTGTGGAAGAGAGGAGGCAGCACAGCAGAACCTTTGGGTGTTAGAGGCAGGGGAACAGCAGCCGAACAGCCAGATGGGGCAGCTGTTCCTCATGGGAACGGTGTGTGGAAGAGCATTTCTGCTTCGGCTTGGAGAGGAGTCTGCATGACAGGGATGCTGTAGTGGAAGAGGGAGCCTACACCACGTCCTAGGAGTTTGCAGTCCGCTTAAATACACTGGGACCCTGCCCTGTGACGGGACTGTGTATTCACTTGTCCCACCTTTCTCTGCCTTGGCTTCTGGAGTGCAGGTGGGGATCTGCGTTCAGGGCGTGAGGAAGGGTCTGTGCAGAGCTGGATGGCTGCACAGGGCAGAGTTGCGTTTGGAAAGGAGAGCTGTGCTGTTAGTGTTTGCAAGCGGAATAGGCGCGTTGAAGAAAGTTTGGAAATCATAGGGCAGCAGGACTTAGTGTTTGCAAGGGGAATAGGCGCGTTGAAGAAAGTTTGGAAATCATAGGGCAGCAGGACTGCCTGAAGGTGAAAATCCAGCTTGGTTCGTTGCAGCACAGCAGGAGAGGCTGAGGGCAGGGCACAGGGCTGAGCTTGTCATCGGCTTTGAGTGCGTCCTGCATCCTCTGAGCCGGAGCTGGTGATCCTCCTTCCTCTGCACAAGTCTGTGACCTTCCAGTAATCCCCTGTTGTGGGCCTAAGGATCGTAGTCACCATGCTGCTTTTCTTACGCAGGAGCACGTAGAGATGTTCCGCTCTCCTGCTGCTGGTCCACCTCTGAGATGGTCTGAGGAGTCAGCTCAGGGAGAACCTTTCGCACTGTCCCGCCTGGTCCCTGACAGGGAACCCCTTGGCATCCAGCAGCCTCTGCTGGTTCGGTGTTCCTGGGAAACTAGGGCCATCCTGCTGGGAAGGTTGCTTGTGAACCTCCTGTTCTTCCTCCTCCTTGTGAGTGATGGAGAAATGGTGGGAAGGAGCAGCTGAGGATAGTGAGTACTGCAGCAGACCTGGAAGGGGAGGATCTGCTAAGCCAACTCGGCGGTTTGCAGAGGAGGTCTGGAGAGAGCAGCAGCAGGCAGGCTGTGTGCGCAGCTGATCCTGGCTTCTGGAAAGCATTTGGCACTGTGTGTCACCACGTTTGTTCAGCTTATTCCTTCAGATTGGTTCGGTTGCGTCCTGTCTCTGAAGGACGGTACAGCGAGGAACATCAGCTGATGGGTTTGGGAAGAGGCTGGGGAAGGCACCGCAGTATTAGGTGCTGCTGTCTGTTAGGCTGCTTGTCATCCTCTTTTGTCTCAAGATGGAATGAATTGTGCTCTGGGGTGATTTTTTTTCTCTTTGACCCTGGGCGCATAGACAACACAACTTAAAGCTGTGCCACATGTGAGATGAAAGCTCTTACATGAGACTGGGACTCAGCTTCTAGCACCAGCGCCTCTTAGCAAGCTTGGTGGTCGACCTTGAGCTGCTGCTTGAAGGCTCAGGAGTGAGCGTCTGCAAAGTGCTGTGCTCCATCTTTTGCCTGAGTTTATTTCTGGCCTGCACATGTGGTCAGGAAGGAGGCGAGGGAGCAGGTTTGTCCACACGAGGAGCAGTGAGGCTGAGGAAATGCAGAAGACCCCAAGGAGCGTGGTAATCGGAGACCGTTCGTACAGAACCAGTGTCAGTCTGGGCAAATGCTGATGCTGTACGGAACCAGGAGCATGGGCCAGCCTGCTGGCAGGGCTGAAGCTGTCCCTGGGCGAGTCAGCAGGTGAGCACGGGGTGCAAGTCCGGGCGGATTCCTGCCTTCGTGCAGGGCAGCAGGAGGACCGGTGCTGGAGCGTTGTCAAATTCGGGTGTCAGCACTTCAAAAGGACACAGAGAAGCTGAGAAGATTAAAAAACAGAAAAAAGAAAATCTACAAAACCTAATAAAAAGCTGGAAAAAAATACCTGATAGTGGGACACTAAAAGAGCTTATCCATTCAATAAATCAAAAAGAAGATTGAGAGGTTACTTGCTTATGATCTAAGAGTACCTACGTACCTATCAACATGGGGAGAAAGTCACAGATACTAAGACTCTGCAGGCTAGCAGAGAGTTAATGCTAGAAGTCAAAGCTAGTCAAATTAAAATAATCTTAAAGAATCCTTACTTTTTTTATTAATAACTCTCTTTTCATTAGTTGTGGGAAAAAATGCATAGGGAAGTGCTATATTCTGCATCTCTTCTGCTTTTTTCAAATCCAGGCCAAGCCCCGGTGTGGAGGAGACTTGCCACGTACTCGGATGACGGGTGCAGCGTGGGCTGGGTGAAGTTAAGTGGCTGGCAGCATGCAAAGGTCAGCCTGGAAAACTGAGAGGTCCTTCTGGCCTTTGAGTCTGTGTAGGCAGGAGCCGTCTGCGTTGCTGCGGCTCCCTGAGCCGTGCCGCGTTGCCTGCAGCAGTCACAACGCCTGCCGGCGCAGCTTTGCCAGTATCCGTGCCCGTGCCGAGTGTGCTGCTCCGGGGGAAGCAGTGTGGTAATCGGGAGTGCAGATGGAGCAGAGGGACCACCATCTCGTGGGACGTCTGGAGTGAGTCTCAGGTGCTCGGTGCTCTCACCTGCCTGCTCCACTGCAGGACCACACTGCCTGAGCACGGCTGTCAGGGGGGAAAGAACAGGGCAGGAGGTGCTGGGGAGAGCCGAGCCCAACACGTTGGCCCCAGACGTTGCTGGCATCTGAGAACTGTTCAGGGGCTTCCAGGGTCTGGTGTCAGGTGGAGCTGTCTTGACGGGATGAGGTGTTTCCAGAGTGGGAAAGTGGCTTTTCCCAGTGAGCGCTGGTGGGTCCTGGTGCGTCTGTTCCAGGATCTGGTGGAGTGCTGGTGGTCGTGGATTGTGTGAGGAGCTTGGCCCTGTGGTGGTCCAGTTACCAGCCAGACCTCATCTTTATACGGTCTCTCCAGCACAAGTTGCTCAGCCCAGATCGTGGCAGACCTGCCCCACGCAGCTGGGGGAAGATGTTGATTTTCCACAGCAGAAACAGGAAGATTTCGCTAAGCTGTGGTCGCCACTTCCATTGCAATGGTTTTCTTGCTTGTCCATGCTGTGCGGAGCGTGTGCTGCACCTCTGTTCCCAGAAAGCCCTTCGGTGCCAGCCTTGTCTAACAACAAGCAGTCCCTGGCGTTTTTGGACAGCAAGTTAATGTCTGCTGGTTTAGCCTACAGCCTGAGGGAGCAGCCACCCTAGCTCTCGGTGTGCAGCTGAAGGCTGAGGCTAGCACTCTTCCTGCCCAAGCTGCCGTCTCTGCAAATGACCCACGGTCTGCACGTGGTGCTGCTGGGCGTGGGGGAAGCCCAGAGGAGGAGAACCTCAGATCTTCACGTTCACCGACTGTTCAGAGGTTCTCCAAGAACGGAGTGGCTGCAGCTGTTGCTGTGCTCTCCTTCCTGCTCAGGCAGGCGCAGCAGAGACCCTTCCTCCACAGCCAGAGCAGTTGCTGGGTGTTCGGTCTGAGCGGAGCTCGGGGTTGTGCTGGGCAGGGAGCTGGACCGTGTGCGTTACAGTGTGTAACTGTAATTGTGCTGAGTCTTGTGGAGCGGTGAAGGACTCATCTGGGCAGTCAGGCTTCTGAAGGTCGCTGTGAAAAGAATGCATGATGTGCAGAAAAGGGGCAACTTTCTAGCCTGTTCCAGTGCTCCGTCACCCTCAGAGGGAAGAAGTTCTTCCTCATGTTCAGACGGAACTTCCTGTGCCTCAGTTTGTGCCCATTGCCCCTTGTCCTGTCACTGGGCACCATTGAAAAGAGCTTGGCCCCATCCTCCTGACACCCACCCTTCAGATATTTGTAGGCATTTATAAGGTCCCCTTGCAGCCTTCTCTTCTTCAGGCTGAACAAGCCCAGTTCCCTCAACCTCTCCTCGTAGTGGAGATGCTCCAGTCCCCTCACCATCCTTGTAGCCCTCCGCTGGACTCTCTCCAGTAGCTCTTCATCTTTCTTGAACTGGGGAGCCCAGAACTGGACACAGTACTCCAGATGAGGCCTCACCAGGGTAGTGTAGAGGGGAAGGAGAACCTCCCTCGTCCTGCTGGCCACACTCTTCTTGATGCACCCCAGGATCCCATTGGCTTTCTTGGCAGCCAGGGCACACTGCTGGCTCATGGTTAACCTGTCGTCCACCAGGACACCCAGGTCCCTCTCCGCAGAGCTGCTCTCCAGCAGGTCCACCCCAAGCCTGTACTGGTGCATGAGGTTGTTCCTCCCCAGGTGCAGGACCCTGCACTTGCCCTTGTTGAACCTCATCAGGTTCCTCTCTGCCCAGCTTTCCAGCCTATCCAGGTCACGCTGAATGGCAGCACAGCCTTCTGGTGTATCTACCACACCTCCCAGTTTGGTGTCGTCAGCAAACATCTCCTTGCTGGTTTCTCACGTGTGGCCTGGCAAAAGTCCCATGGAAACGCTGTTTGCTGTGTGGGGGCTGCACTTCTCTCGTCCTTCCCAAGTGGCTTCCAGCACCAGATGTTGTCACAGTGACTGCTTCTGTGAGAGGTGGGACAGTCTGCCTGCGGCTTCAGGTGTCGCGAGGAGCTGGCTTTGGCACGAGCGGGGAGAGTGGCAGAGGCCGGGCTGTGTGCTGCAGCGTCCGGTGCCCGGCAGACACCAGCTGCAGCTTCAGACCTGCGCCGGGGTGAGCCTGCCCTGACGCATCCTCTCCCTCGCAGCAGAGCTCCCGGCGAGGCGGCAGGCTGGGGCGGAACGCGTCTTCTGACTTCGTGGCTCTGAAGAGGTACGGTGAGAGGACCGTCTTCTCAAAATCGCCTTCACAGAGCTCCTCTCCTGTGTGCAGGAATCTGCTAGAGTTTCGAGGATGCCGGGACAACAGCAAGAAGCCATCGATGTGGGGATGCATCAGCTCTTGGGCTTCAGTTGAAGAACATTTCTATACCAGGCAAAAGTTAGAGAGCAAATTGTTGAGAGCCCCTTGGCAGTGATTATCTTGGGGTTGTTCCCGAAGAGGGAAGAGTGACCCAGGCCCAGCCCTGGATGGGCACAGGAGGGACAGCAGCTGTGCTCCTGGTGCTGTGGGTGGCTTCTCAAGGTTCACCTCTGCAGCAAGCCCAGCGCGAGCACCCCTCTGCTCCCACTGTCCCCGGGCAGCGGGGAGGACAGCCGGCAGAGCGAGGTCCTGCCAGGACCTGCTGCTGACCTGCTGGCAGCACAGCTGCTCTCCATCCTTCCCCCTCGGCCGTGGTGCTGCAGACTTGGACTTCGCCGTGAAAGCTCGAGAGTGGTTCTGGCTCTGCTGCCTGGGGGTGGTTTGGGTTTCTGCGCCCTGAGTGGGACAGTGGGGCAGTGGGCGTCCCTCCTTCTGCTCAGGTGTGAGTTTGTGTGTTCCTTGTTGGGGACATCAACAGCATTGCTGTGTCTTCCAGGGCAGTGAGTGATGCTTCTGAGGAAGGGTCTGGCAGGAGAGCTTCTATGGGGAGGCCAAGAGTTCGTGCACGGTGGGGTGTGCAAGGCCCTACAACTCCATAAGGTGCCACTCACTCTGAGGTGTCTTCTGTAGGGTCCTCGATGCCTCACTGGGGACCTTCCTGTGTATCTCCTCTTTGTCCAGATACTCCTCCCAGAGCGGACCATTCCTGGCGGTGTCTGGAGAGGGATTTCTCCAGAACGTTGGGGACAGGGTGCTGTGGTGTGCTTTAAAATACTGTGTGATGCTCAGGGGCTCATGCAGCAGCACGGCGTGTGACATGGGCACGGAAGTGCCAGGCAGTGTATTTGGACAGGGGTTCTGCAGACAGGGCAGGGCTCATTGATTGTACATCACAGAGCTGCGTGTAGCAACCGAAGATATCTTGATAAGCAGATGATCGTAGAGACTGGCTTGAGGGATGACAGAAATTACCCTTGAAAAGTCTGGCTGGTGTTCAAGAAGTGGAAGAACCTCTGCCTGGCAAGCAGAAATGTAAAGGCTGCCTCAAGATGCCTCAGTTACGGGTTGGTGAGATTCTATCGCCGGCAGTGTGGTCTAGCTGGCCTCGTGATTAATTCCACTGTTACCACTAATGGTACAGGGTGAGTGACAAGGCAGAGCCTCTGCCAGGCTCTTTGCCCAGGACAGCGATTCTGCAGAGTTTTTCTGAATCTGTTCTGGCCCGTGGGGTGCCTGAGCTCGCGGTGTGCCTGGCCCGTGTTTGGAGGAGAGATGGCTCCCACAGCCAGCAGCGGATGAAGCTGTGCAGAGGAGAGGATGGAGGGGAGGAGAGCAGGGAAAACCAGGAGGTTGACGTGGTCTGTTTGTTTGGTGGTTGTAGGAGGGGTTCCTGTCTCTGTGAGACTAATACTTAGCTTGGGAGTCTGGACAGGCTCCCAGCTTTGTCAGACGAGCAGGCGGCAGCGATGGCCCCATAGGTCTGTCTCCGTTCGGGACGTGGCACTGAAGCTGCGAGGTGGCAGGACTTGCTGTCAGCATCTGACTTACCCAGGTGGGTTCAGTCATCGCACATGTGGGGTGCAACATCTTCTGTCTTCCTGGAAAGGGAATGTGGCAGCTCCTTCGTTGCAAGGGTACACGATATGAGGCGTGCTGGGTTGGACGTGTGTGCCAGAGAGAACGAGGGACGGCCATGTGTCCTCCTGAACTGCCCAACAGCCCAGCTTGTTTGCTGTCATGCTCTTTGGTCAGGATGTTTATTTCCAGAAAAGGTGGGAGATTGGGACAGTTGAAATGCAATTTCATGCAACCTCATCAGGCAGTGAAGTCACAGGAACTGGGAGAGTTGTTCCTCACGTTAGTTTTTCGAACATCTGGAGATTGTGAGGGTCACAAGGGCCCAGACTGATGGAGGTGGCACTGCCCAGGCTGTTGAGTTTGGTAACTGGCTCCTGTAGCTGCTGTACAGGATGACCAAGAAGTCACTCTGGCTGCCCAGGGCTGCTTCTGTGGCAGCCCAGGGTTCTGGGTGGCTCCTTTGTGTCCACATGAAGTCACTGCTCTGTGTGAGACCCAAGAGAGCAGTGGCCTTTGGGTACGCAGGATGACCGGCATGGGAAGCATGTCCTGCTGACTGCTGGAACAGCCACGGGCAAACGCTGTCCCTTGCATCTGGGCTGTGCAGGAGCGGCAGGCAGTGGGGGATGAGAGGTTTGGTGTTCTGCAGAAATCCTCCCTGTTAACACAGGGTGGCACAGTTTGAGCCCCAGATGTTGGCACTGGTCAGATGCAGGGTTTGTGTCTCATTGAAGCCCTCTAGAAATCCGCGGGTGGAGAAAGTTGCGTTCTGGACTCTGACCCTGTCCCTTTCTCCCTTCTTCCAGTGGCTCAGAAGGTGGTGGCTCTACGGAAGAAGCAGCAGCTTTCCATCGGTCCCTGCAAGTCCCTGCCCAATTCACCCAGCCATTCGTCTGTCTCTGCGGCCTCCATTCCTTCTGTTCATATCAACCAGGTGGGAAACGGGAACAGGGAACGCCAGGGACCCCACATAGGTCTCCACAGCCCCTCAGGTCGCTCACTACACAGCATGTTCAGCCTGCCTTTAGACTCATACTACAGCCCTGGAGTGGCTTTTGGAAAGAGCGGAGCGGTTGTCACCCTGGAGCTTCTGTCCGTAGCCCAGACAGCTTGGTGCTTCCTCTGAGGTCAAGCTTTTTGTCTAAACCGTTGCATGTGGCTCACAGTCTCCAAAGATTGCGGTGTGCTTCTGCAGATACGGGTGGCAGCGCCGTGAGCAGTCTGCAGGGAGGCTCCTGGCTCCTGGGCAGAGCAGAAGGAGGTCGGTGAGCACAGCTGCCCACGGTCCTGCTCCCCCTGGAAGCGGGAAGCTGGTGGTCCTCCGTGCATATACAGGTGGCCTTCTTAGGGGATGTATTTGTGAAGGGGTGGATTCAGTGGAGAAGGAGATTCTCCTCCCCTCTGCCGGCGGAAGGCTCTGTGCTGTTCTTCTGGCACAGCGTTAGCTTGGCAGGGCCTGCTGTGCTGGGAGGATGGTGAAGCCGGAGGTGTTTGTTCTGTGACTTTGGAGAAGCAGCACTGACGCAGGAGGGGCAGGCAGCCAGAGCGAGGGGCTGCTGAAGGAGATCCCTGAAGTTCCCAGCACCCACAGAAACACTGCGCTGGCTCGCTGGTGGGGCGGGTGAGATCCTGGGCTCTGCTGCTCCGCAGAGGCAGTCAGGCCAACAGGTTCCAGCCCTGAAGCACTCGGCGCGTGAAATCACAGGGTCAGTAGCAAGGACGTCAGGAAATCTGTCTGTCTGGCGCAGTGCTGTCAGACTGAGGAGCAGCAAGCGTAGCAGCTGGGTTCGTGGAAGAGGGGAGACCGTGTAGCTGGGGCAGCTGTGAGCCCCTCGGCTGCCTCAGCAGTGAGCAGTGCTCGAAACAGTTTTTTGGGGAAAAGAGCAGCTAAGGACTCGGAGGAGCAGGTAAAACTGAAGAAGATGCAGAGCAAGTTTAACAAAATTTCTGACAGACTGACACTTTTTCCATGAGGGGATTGGCTTTGAACCTTCGGGTGTACCTGAGCCTCTCGGGCCCCGGGAGGACTCCTGGTACACCATCATGGGGAAGATTGTCCCTGCACAAACCTGAGGACGGTCTGCAACCACTGGTTGGACCCTTACGTAACTCCTGAATACCCACGTGAAGTTGGTACCTGCCTGGGTGGGCTGGTAAAGCTGGGCTGCAGGTAGGTGTGCACAGATTTTTGGAGAGACCTGTGCCAGCTGCCTGGTGCTCCAGGTCACCCGGACATCAGCAAGTTCAGATGAAGTCTCCGTGTGGAAGCGAGCAGGCTAAGCCCTGCTGACAGCTGGAGCTCCCTGATGAAGCTGCATGGCCTTCTGATCGGAGCTTGTTTGTGTCCAGCGAGCTTGGGACGCAAGCAGAATGAGCATGGCTGCTTGCAAAACACGCACAGCCATCGCGTGGCCTGCAGTCTGTCTGGGTATGGGTGCTTTTTGGGAAGTTTGATAGGAGGCATCCAAGGTGGAGAGCAAAGTCCTGGGAAAATGCAGATTTGAGTGTATCTGGTAATTTGAGGATTTTGTTAGAAGACAGACTGTAAACAGTCAAAGACTGGTTGTGAAGGAGCGGCAGTCCTTACGGAAAGAGGGGGAGTGGGGTGGAAGATGGCCAAGGGCAGCGTTCCTCGGGGAGGAGCTGAACACTTGTTTAATGTTTCCTTCAGCGTCCAAAGTATGAGAGAAGGGTCCTAACGAATACGTACTAATGGCACTTGCTGTGCCAGCCAAGTGTTCGTAGCAAAGGTAAAAACGCGTTCCCTGTGTGAGGGGTGGTGGGATACCAGACTCCTGGGCCTGATTCCAGTCGTGTAGGTGTGCACTGAAACTGGTGTAGGAACCGCAAAAAGCGAGTGGGAGGGAGAAGAGACCCTGGTGCGAGAGGAAGTAGGCTCTTGGCTCGTTCGGCGTGGGAAAGTGACGGCTGAAATGGACCAACCCTGACCTCTAAAATACACAGCCATGAAGGGAAAGAACTTTTTAAGAAAAGGTGCTACAACGAAAGGGGTGGATTTAAGACTGGCCATGGGGAAGCAAAGTTCGGGTGTCGGAAGAGATTTGTAACTGCATGTCATGAGCTTTATTAGAGGATTTTGCTCAGAAACCTCCCTGCCTGCCTTTCCTTCCTGCAGAGCGCCTTGCAGCCGGTTTGCAGACGACCTCTGCGCAGAGGTGAATGCTGCCTGCTTGGCTCTGAGACAGGACCTTTACCCTCAGCACCTTGCTGTGCTCCTGGGCTTTGCCGGAGGGACCTGGGCAGTTCTGGTGGGAAGCTGGAGCTGTGAAAGGGAAGTCACACAGTATGCCACTGACAGGCAGTTGCGCTGTGAGGCCTTTCTAAGCAAGAAATGTTTATTGATTGCCTGGGTTGTGGCAGTGTCAGCAATAATGATAGGCCGTGTCCTTCTGGAGCTTCCTCGCTCGGTCGTCCCTCCCCCGTACACGCTCTGTGCCTCTCTAACGCTGTGTCCCTCCCGTGCGTGAGAAACCTGGACGCCACAGTGAGGAGCAAAGTTAATCGCTCTTCCCTGGGTCTGCTGTGGCTCAACCACAAACCCTTTCGGTTCCCAGCGACCTGCTGCAGTAATCTTTGCCCTGGTGTTTACACATGGCTCTTCCATTACAAAAAGCACTTCTCCTAAAAATAGAGCATGACGTAATGGAACTGATGAGTGATGGTAAAATGCTGTGAAGTATTTCCCCGTTCTCGCTTGGGCTCAGGAATGAGGTTCTGGAACTGTTTCCCACTGTCCTCAGAGAAAATCCAACTGGCTTGGTGACACACAAGTTCACCGATGGCTGATGTTGCTAAGATCGACCAGGGCAGACCAGCCCGTGTGCTCTGGTGAGTGTGGCACAGTGAGCGGCAGTTACTGCAGCAGGGATGCGAAAGACCCCAGAATCGCTGCTCAGGAGTGCGCTGTGATGATGGTGGCACACCAAAGGGTATGGTCTCTGTCTCCCAAAGACAGGAGAGAGCTGGGCGCAGACAGCTCTGGAGCCCTCCTGTGCCCTGCTCTCCAGACCCAGGCTGCAGACATGCTGGAGCCGCTTGCTGCGCTCGGTGATGGTGGCCTGGCTCCTGGGAAGTGCCGAGGTGCCCTGTGGGCAGCTGCGGGAGGACGTGGGCAGACTGTACGCGGCCAGGAAGGATGAATGAGAGGGTGGCATGGTCTTTGCAGAGTAGTGCCGTGTTCTGTCTTTTCCTACCTGAGGGTATGGGGCTCTTGCCAAGGTTTCTGACTTGCCTTCACAAGTAAGAGAGCAGGAACTGGCTCAGGGAAGAGGATCTCAAGGAAGGATTTGGGAACACAGGATTTAAATGGAGATGAGATGGAAAGAAGCCAGACAAAGAATACAATTAGGAGCTTTTGTTTGGCTTGTACCGCAGCTAGGTATTGGTGTACGCAGGCAAGACAGACACTGGGACAGAAGGATCTCTCTTTCTTCTCAGTACGTGTGGGAACTGCGAGACTCGCATTTGCATCTGGAGTGCATGGCCAGGAGGAGCCCCTGGGAGCCTCTGCGCTGCTCTGTCCTCGCAGGGCACGGTGCTGGGTGTCGAGAGGTGCTGCCCGCCGCTGCCGGCCGTGCGTGGTGCCAGCGTCGCTCCGTCCCTTCCAGGCAGCTGCGGCACCTCGGCAGCGTTCGGTTCCCCTTAGCTGGCTGCCTTGCTGAGGGCTGTTAGCAGCAGCATTCCCTTCCCCGTGGATCGTCCCCCTTCCCTTCTGCAGGTAGCTGCGGTGGAGGTCTGCTTCCCTGCACAGCCTTGTGCCCAGAGAGACGGTGGTGCCGTCTGAGGCAAGAAGGGTGCTCTGCTTGGTACCTGGTCTCCTGACCCATGCAGGCAGGACAGCTCTGTCTTCTGGAGCTGTCAGTGAAGAAGGCACTTGTCTTCTGCGAACAGGAACAAATGGTCCCCACACTGCTTACGGCAGGCAGGAGCTGGGAGCCAGCCGTGCCTCTCATCCCAGTCCTAGGGACACCTTTTCTGGGAGTAGTTTGATGCTCCTAGTTGAGCCAAACTAACTTCTTCGGAAATGGCCACTGCTTGTCTGGTCTCCTGACAACCTGGCCAGTCCATTGCAATTGCTGGGAGAGGAGAGACCCCAGAGGACCCTGATGATTTTGTCACCCATCTGTCCGGAGGATGTTCTGCTCTTGGTGTGAGGCAGTGGCCGGTTTCCAAACCTTCGTGATTGTGCCAGGTTCCCAAATTGACAGAGCTCTGGGACAGCGGTGCTGTGTGAGGAGTTTTGGTGTCCTTGCACAGTGGGTGATCCTCTTCATGAAACATTCTTGAACCAGCCGAAGGCCATGGTTTCGCTTCTGTCTTCGGGAGTTTTGGGTTTTTTGCTTTTATTCTGCAGTGGTGCCTGGTGCCCCAGAGGACACTGCTTCCTTCAAGGTGGAGAGGAAGGGAGCTGTAGTAGCAGGTCAGCTGTGGTCAGGGATTTCCGCCAGCACTCAGGCATGTGCCCGACGTGCTCGTCAGGTCTGTGACCCTGACTGCCGTGTTCAGCATCTCCCTGTTCCTCTGCCGCGGCAGGAGCTGGGGCCAGCCCTGGTAGTCCTGCACGCTTCGCTGGGGACGCCAGGTCTGTCCCCGGGGCCTTCCCCATGGCTCGTGGATCTGCACCTGTTCGAACAGACACCTCAGATGCCCCAGGACCCTGCCCAAGGAAAGCTCTTGCTTGCCTGCTGGTTCAGGCTCTCTGCTGTGTCCTGCCCGCACCCATCACTGGGTGAGCAGGTTAGATAGGTTTGGGAGCCCCGTTCCTCGGCTGGGCCTTGGCTTCCACCCTGCGCTCTCCTGG